TATATTAATGCTAAACTCAGAAAAACATCTCTAGTGATGGCATATTTCTTTTATGAAAGCATTTTTACCTGATCGTATTTAATGGTTTAAAGTAAATATAAATATTATTCTTTCATTTTAAGTATTTCAGCAATGCAACAAAATAAAATCTACATATTTCGGTTGGAGCTATATTAGTCATTATCTAATTCAAAATTTTCCATTTTTTCGAAAACGTGATCTTATCTAGATCAGCATTTTTGTGCCTTCCTGTCAATAAGCTTAGCAAAATCAGCTACTCATCCTCACTCTAAGAGTACTTTTTTTGGCGAGTGATAAGGAGTGAACAGAACAGGATGAAATATGGGAGAAAAAAGTGTGCCATATATGCCGGATGTTGAATTAGTCGAAAAATCTGTATTTCAAAGCTAATTTATTTTGGATATTCTGCTTAAAGCTGAACTTTAACAAATCATAGGCTGACGGATTTTTGTTCACATTGGCAATAACCAAAAGCTAAAATGAGCATTCGCCTTTCCTAAGATCTCACACCGGCTTTCTCAGCATCTGGCTATAAACTATTATATATGATAGTATTCGAATGTAAAAATTTGTTTTTTGAAGAATGAATATTTAATTTATGAAATTGAATGATAATAATTTACTTGACGATATTACACTTATTACTTAATATTCCCCAATTTTTTCTTTAGAAGTGGGTTGGCCTTGTTTTCGCAATTTAGTCTTGTTGTCACGGTGACTTCGTTGGACGCACCATATCCGAAGTCCTCTTCTCTAATAGTTTTCATAATTCCCAGCGTCAAATCACAGACTTGGAACATTCTTAGATGTCTCGCCAAAATCGTAGTCGGCATCAATAGTGAGTTTTGCCATTCTCCGCACCAAGCTACAACTTGTCAGAAGACAGTTGAAGTCTTTGACTACTTGTAGCCTGATGCTGAGACTGGTATGACTCAGTGATGATGCAGACTACGATGCTGTTGAAACGTCTGAGAATATACCAATTCTACGATCTGACTCTGGTAATTATGTTAGCTACGATAACAGAGGAATTTGGACAGATTATATCCAACTTAATCTCACTGACAACAAGACCATGCTATGAAAACTTGGTCAACCCAATTCTACACATCAAAAGGAAACTGCGACCATACCGAGTGCCACACCATCTTAGTCTACATATCTTCGTTAATTATTTAGACTATAAAGCTTTACTCTCACCTTCTATGGCTATTTTCCGAGACATTCTTATTTTGTAGTATATTAAAAGATTATTTAATGAATAAAATCTGCTCCTATTCATTAAAACGTTTCTCTCAGAGATTGTACAATTCAGGATGTCATGAGCATGATGTATAGAAAGACATACAATTATGATATCGTTTTGGGCCTTTAACTTAATATATATGATATTTTTATATAGTTTGTTGAAAGGTATTTTGTACTTATCTGGCCCAGTTTCTAAAGTATTAATTTTAAAAAATTAAATGTAAGTGAGCAAACTCTTTTTTAATATCATACAACAAAAATGTAAAATTTTATATACATAAAATTCGCTATACCTAGATGACACATGTACCATACTCTTTGTTTCACCTCCAATTATGGCTCCTCATGTTATAACTCATCAAAATTTATTGTATCGACTTGGTGAACAACTTCCTTGGATAGTTTCTCGTTTCTTTAAAAGTTATTAGAATTTCTACCAAAATGAGTCCCGATTATTCATGCGAATATGCTGGCGCATTATTACATTCGTTTGGCATAGTTTATTGATTTTCCCTTATAGTTCACATAGTATTTGTACCATCTGCTTCACCATTTGACCACAAACGAAATAAAAATATGGGTGATCTGAGCGTCTAGCGTATATTCACAATCTTCTTCTTTAAAACCTCACAGAAGGATCACATACTTATTTTAAGAAACTTTGAAACTAGTCATTTTACGGAAAGTAAGAATTAAATACTAGCTTTACATATTTATTCTGGCAACGTATCGCAATGCTTACAAGCATGGTCATATTTTTCGCTTATAGGCATTGTCATTTCTTATATCTAACCACATGAGACGAGGTCAAATTGCGCCTTGAGCAATACATTTAGTCATATAATACAGATTATAAAACTGACAAAATAAATGCCATAGTTTAAAATTCCAATAGGCTTTTAAGGATAATGATTGTGGGACAAACACGTTTACAACACGTTTATTAAGACACTACATTACTAGCACAGTAGTTATGTAGAATTCAGGTAAGTTTTTAACAAGTGGTTGATGAGTCTCGGATAAAGGAAAAAGGAGAGAAATTTCTGCCAATCACTCCGCTTTGGCTTGTACACTCTTCTCTCTTCTTCCACCAATTTCTCACCATATTGTGCTTAACTCAACTGTGCTTCTCGGGGTCGCCGAGCTACTGATAGAGAAATATACAGAAAATCTCATATGACTCGGTGCTGAGAATTTAAATACGAATTCACCGTTTTTACTATACCAATTAGGCATATATAACTGTTATATTTATAAATATAGTCCAACCTGAATAATGAAATTGAGCATCTTGCAGAGTAACAAGCCAAACAGCCAATCTGTCTTGTAGTACTGCGTTACAGTGGTCGTGCTCGAGACGGTTAGATAGGTGAGATCGGTGAGCGCCAGTCCAACACAGAAGATTTCATACACCATTCCCGTGGGGGTTCGGACTAGCACAACGATCACCAACAGGTTGCCAATGATGCCGATTAACAGGATGAAGGACCATATCACAGTGAATACAAGTACAATGGCCATCGGTCGCTGGAAACTGGAATCTGGACTCTGTATCACACAAATTGGCGGTCTCAACTTGCAGCCAACACTTTCCTTCTGTGACTTTGGCTCGAATCTGATGGACTGGCTTGTCGAACTCGTCATTTTTGCAGCTGTTTCACCAAATAATGATATAGGCGGTTGCGTTTGCCAATGGGATTCCGCTAATATATCCCTCGCCTGTATTCTTTTCATAGCACTTTCCCGCCCTATCGCGGCTGATTTTTTGACAGCATCTTTCAGATTATTTAGATTCCTATCCCTCTGCTGATTCAAGAGAGTATGATTATCTTTCGAACCACCATCGATGGTTTCAGATGAAATACAAGCTCCAATGTGAGTC